AGTGTCACATTTGCAATCCTCCAGGCCCCTGGGATTAATCCTGTGTTCAGAGAGACATGAAAAATTTCTGACAATGGCTCTGCAATTTACTCCTTTACTTCTCTCAGAAATCCCGATGCATCCCATTGGGGCCAGCGACTTCACTACCTGGAATGCTGCCAGCCCTTTTAGTGCCTCTTCTTTATCTCTCACTATAGTGTCCACTTGCTCAACACCCACATTTTCAACTGGGCCATTGTCACCATTTTCTAATTTGGTGAAGACAGAAGCAAAGTATTCATTTAGTATCTCTGCCATACTCTTTGCTTCAGTGAGCAGCTTACCCTGCTTGTTCCTTATGGGGTCCACTCTATTTTTAATATTTTCAATATTATTAATTTTGAAGAACATTTCACCATTTTTTTTTGCAACCTGACATCTTTTTATCATGCTTTTTCTTGACCTTCCTTATTCCAGCCATAGGCTCTCTTCTGCATTGAAGATATCTTTCCTGATCTCTATTGTTTTATTATTTGGTACGCATCATGTGCCTCCCTTTTCTTTGTTATTTCCTTATCAATATCCTTAGTCATCCAGGATACTCTAGTTTTAGACACACCTTTTTTATTTCTCATGGGTATGTACCCAGCTTGCACCCTATTCATCTCTCTTTTGAATTTCTCCCATTTTTTATCCACTATTTTATCAACCAAAATGTGTTTCCAATCAACTTTCTCCAGTTCAACTTTTAGACCCCTAAATTCTGCCCTTTTCCAGTCTGGGATTTGATTTTTATGCTTTTTCAACTTAATATTGAACCTTATTACATTAGGATTGCTATTTCCCAAATGGTTTCCCATTCTGATGTTCTCCACCTGACCTGCCTCGTTTCCTTGGACCAGATCCAGAACAGCTCCCTCCCTTGTAAGACTGGAAATGTACTGTTCCAGATAGTTCTGCTGTACACATTACAGACGTTTCTCCCTTTCTATGCCGTGGAATCGCCCTGGAGAATGTGGCAGTGAGCTGACTCCTTAAACTACTGCCATCCCTGTGGTGTAGGAGCATCCACAGTGCTGTTCAGAAGTGAGTTCCAGGAGTTTTATCCAGCATCAGTGAAGGAACAGTGATACATTTCCAAGTCAAATGATGTTAGATTTAGAGGGGAGCTTGCCTGGTGTTCCCATGCATCTCCTGCCCTTGTCCTTCTACGTGGTGGAAGTCTTGGGTTTGGAAGGTGCTGTTGGATAAGCCTTAGTGAGTTGCTGCAGAGCATCTAACAGATGGCACACACTGCTGTTTCTGTGCAACGGTGATGAAGGGAGAGAATGTTGAAGGTAGTGGATGGGGTGCCAGTTAAGCAGACAGCTTTGTTCTGGATGCTCTAAAGTCTCTTGAGACTTCTTGGAGTTGCACTGATTCAGGAAAGTGGAGACTGTACCATCTTGAGTCTTGTGGATGGTGGACAGGCTTTGGAGAGACAGGAGTTGACTCCCTGCAAGACTCCTAGCCTCTGACCTGCTGTTGTAGCCATTGTATTTGTATGGCAAGTCCAGATCGGTTTCTGGTCAAAGATAACTTCCAGGATATTGATAGTGAGGGGATTCAATGATGATAATGCCATTGATTGTCAAAGGCCAACAGTTAGACCCTTTCTCGTTGGAGACGTTTATTGCCTGTCACATGTGTGGTGTGAATGCTACTTGCTACTTATCACCCTGAACATGAATACTGTCCAGGACTTGTTTCATTTGGACATGGACTGCAGCATTGTCTGAGGATACATGAACAGTGGTGAATGTTGTGCAATCATTGGTGAACATCCCCACTCCTCACCTTACGATGGAGGGAAGGTCATTGATAAAGCGGCTGAAGATGGTTGGGCTGAGGACACTCTTAAAGTGTATTAACTGTTGTGTAGTAAATGTGAAGGGTAATTTTCACTCAGCAAGATGCCTCAAACAGCAATGACACCATGCCTTTTCCTAAGCGATATTGGTTGAGTGATCAATACTCACCAATAGCACTTTGAGTAGATCTCTTGGATCCACGTTAGAGCATTTTGCTTTTTCCATCTCATCCAAAAGACATGTCAATGGAATAATTCTGATTAAAATCCTGGAATACTACTAATGTTTAATGCAGCAAGACAACTCTTTAGGAATCACACTTGCGCTGGTATTCGAAAAGAGCTATCTGATTAGGCCCATTGTCCCATGACCTTGCAAACTTCTCCTCTTTGAGTATGTCTCCAATTCCACTGAGATCTTGAGTCTGCTTTCACCACCCTCTCAGGCTGAACATTCTGTTGTACATGGGTCTGAAAGGGTTAATACTCAGGAGTGCCATAAGCACCACCCACTATGGTGATATATGGCCCTGTGAGCAGAGTACCTTTAGATCTTGAAGGAGTGAGACCTAACTTCTGGTTGTCCTCAAAACCTCTGTAACCATGTTGATTGTATAAATATAACCTGTAACCACTTGCTAACGTGAAATAAACCCGTGTTAACTATAAGAGACTCTTTGAATTAGACCAGGAAGTGGTTGATTATTTATTTATTTGATTTATTATTGTCACATATACCATCTTACAGCGGAAAGTATTGTTTTGTGTGGTATCCAGATCATTCATACTTACATTATTACAAACCGAAAGAACCGTGGATGCTGTAAATCAGGAATAAAAACAAAGTTCATGGAAAAGCTCAGCATGTCTGGCAGCATCTGTGAAGAAAAAAATTAGAGTTAACATTTCGGGTCCGGTACCCTTCCTCAGAACTTACATAAGTACATCAGGGCTAATAGAACATAATGTAGAATATACTGTTACAGCTACAGAGAAGGTGCAGAGAAAGATTAACTTTAATATATGAGAGGTCCATTCATAAGTCTGATAACAGCGGGGAAGAAGCTGTTCTTGAATCTGTTGGTATGTGTTTTCAAACTTTTGTATCTTCTTCCAAACGGAAGAGGTTGGAAGAGAGTATAACTGGGTTGGGAGGGGTCTTTGATTATGTTTAAAAAACCAAAAGAACTGTGGATTCTAGAAATCAGGCAAAAAAAATAGAAATTGCTGGAAAAGTCAGCATGTCTGGCAGCATTTATGGAGAGAAATCAGGGTTTAGCATTTGGGTCCAATGACCCTTCTTCAGATGGTAGCTGGGAAAAAGTTGGTTTTTATGTAGAAGATAGGGCAGAAGGAGGGGGTAGGAATAAACGTTTGGTGGAGATAGAGCCCAAAGAGATAGAAGAACAGTTGGACAGACAAGGGAGTGGATAGGGAGAGTGAATAGCTGTTAAAAAAGAGTGTTAATGCCTGACAATGGGTTGTGTGTAATAGCAGACCATGTGATAACAAGGCCTGGTGTGTGGGGTTGGAGTAAGGACATGGGATTTGATTATGATAGCTGCTTTCCCAAAGCAGTGGGAAGTGTAGATGGAATCAAATGAAGGAAGGCTGGTTTTTGTGATGGACTGGGCTGTGCTCACAACTAAGCAGGCCCTGTAGTTTCCTCACTTAAAGGATCTGTTGGCAGCAACCTTCATCTTGAGCAGCAGCTCAGTATAGTAAGCTGGCATGTCCTTACATTACACTCCAGATCACTTCACACCATGTGGCTGGCTGACTTAAGTTCTTCCTTCCCACTCAAACCTCTCCATATCCTCAACCCTGCTTATCACAAGTGTTACCTTCAATACCAACAATCCTCTGAGAACTGTGCGTTTCTCCAATTTTAACCTCTGAAGATGAACCAAACTAATAATGCTGCAACTAAAATAATGGAGGTACAATAGACCAGAATTAAAGGATTGCATAGATGTTGAAGGATTGCGGAGCTTGAGGTGGTTATGGGGACAGGGAAGGATAAGAACAGGGAGGGATGTGAAAAGAAGGATGAAATTATGGCATTGATGGCGTGGGGCCAATGTAGATAATTGATGAGCTAATGAGCATGAGAATATTGACAGCAGAGATGCAGTTTAAGGAGAGTGAGTGTGAACAGGAGAACTTTGGATTGGTCAGTTCAGAAAGACTAAAAGCACTCACAGCCCAAAACTGGTCTGATTGAGACTGGCTAAACTGTGAAGAGGATCTAAAAAGTTCAGAAAGGATTATTGATAGGCTAAACGAGTGGGCAAAATATTGTCAGGTGGACTACGGAGGTGGGTAAATGTGAGGTTGCTCTTTTGGCAGGAAGAATAGAAAAGCAGAGTACTTAAACATTGCAAAATGTTGCAGTACAGAGGGACCTGGGTGGACTTTTACTAGGGGACGCATTTTCAAAATAAAGGGTCTGTAATTTGAAAAAGAGATGAGGAGTAATTTGTTCCTTTTGAGGCTCAGCAATTCTCTTTCCCCAGAATCGACAGAGGCCGTGTTCTTGTATATAAACAAAGCTGAGTAAGTGAGATTTCTAATTGTTTAGGAAGTGAAGAGTTTTAGGGGATAGACAGGAAAGTGGAATTAAGGCCACAACAGATCAGCCATGATCTGATTGTACGACGCAGCAGGCTTGAGGGGGCAGAGTGGCCTACATCTGCCCCTACTTTAATGCTCCGGATATTCAACCTGAACATGCAAGAAGTGGAACTTTGGAAAAAGAATAATCCTCTGGGGAAAGTGCTCAATAAACTTGTTAAACTGTTTGTAACCTTTCTCTATTTCTCTTAACCTGATGCTTTTTTTTGTCTCAATACTTCACCCAACACAAGTAATAAGGACATGGGGGGCTGAGGAGAATATCCCTCCTCCTTTAACCTTTGTAACTCTGATTGAAGTTCTCCGTCTCTAATCTCTGGGAGTGAAAAAAAAATTCTTTCAATGCAAATTAGTGAAGGGAGAGCCAGGCTGTGACGTCAGGGTGAGTTTTATGTAAGAGATGGTTAATGAGAAACCATGTGTGTGTTTGTGTGTGTGTGTGTGTGTGTTTGTGTGTGTGTGAGTGTGTGTCAGGGAGGAGTGTTACGAGCTGTGAGTGCAAGCCAAAACTGCCCTTTCCAGGCTCGTGGAGATTCAGCATGTCCCTGGCTGGACTCGTACAACATGTACGTCAGTTACCTCCTGGATAAGGAAAGCAGCATGTATCCTAATTCGGTGAGGCACCCCAGCTTAAACCTAAGCCCCCAGAACTTTGCACCCCCTCCTCCCCCTCCACAGTATTCCGACTTTGCCGGTTACCACCATCATGTCTCTGGGATCAGCACGGACCCTCACCACCCTCAACCTGCTGGCACCTGGAGCTCCCCTTACGTGCCGCCCCGGGATGAATGGCACGGCTACGGGACAGGTGCCCCCACCGTCACCACCTCGCCAGGGCAGCTGGCATTCGGCCCGTCCGACTTTACCCCTGTGCAGCCCCAGGGTGGTGCTGGCCTGCTGCCCTCCATGAGCGCCATAGTCCCCCAACTCTCTCCCAGCTCTCCGAGGCGGAATCCTTATGACTGGATGAGGCGCAATCTTCAGCCCAATCCGCAAGGTAAGACGGGCGAGGGGATCGCTCAGTGGGTTCGCTCCGATGTCTGCTATGGGGCTGCGCGTTTGAGTATATGAGGCAGAGCTTGAACCCAGGTGAAAGAAAAAGAATCTGATCTGATTTGCAGTCCTTTCAAATTGCCTCGGGATGGTTTCGCGACGTTGCAGGCACTACATAAATGCAGGCCGTTGTTGTTGTTGTGGCCCGGCTGTGTCGCACAGTCACAGTCGTTGGCAGGCAGATAACTCTCAGTGCTGAAGTTGGGGCAGTGCGGAGAGAGTTCAAAGCCACTGCCTCACAGTGAATTTCCAAAGGGGGACATCTTGTGCAGGGCAGAGCTAACAAGTTGGAGAATTAAAGCACGAGAATTAGAAAGGCCTGGGGTGTCGGAGCTGAGGCTGGTGGAAAGTGCAGTCGAAGCAGGGAGGGATGGTGTTTAATGGCGACTATCTTGTTTCCCCAAGGAATGGGAACCTTTGTCGATCACTGGGCTGAACAGAGTGTTGAAAGAGATCGAGATAGGGAAAAGGCCACTCAGAGTTTTAAAAATGAGTGACTGTCAGAAAGGAAGGGATTGATGAGGTGTGAGAGTTTGGATTGCAATTGATCGGGTCTTCCTCTTAGTTTCTCCTTTGAAGCTAGAAAATGCCTCTTCGTACACCTTCTGTCTCACCGTGTGGACTAGGATTTTTACCCTACATGCTCTTATTCAAACCCAGTCTGTCGCAGGCACCCCCCAAACCCTCAGCTCAAACGCTCTGTTCTCCCCGTTTGTTTCCAAGCAATTTAAACTGAAATTTGCAGTCAACTAATTGGTGACTCTTCTCACCTTCACTGCTAGCTTTTAAAATCCTTCACGACCAAACTTCACAAGACAAAACAAAACAAGAAAGTACGCCCCCCCACCCCGGCCAAAATGATTTAAATTATAATCTGTTGCACAGGTAATCAGATAAGGTCAGGAATTGACTGACCATGGCTTCTCGTGCCAGTTAAATATTAGAAAGTGATGGAGAGGTTGTATTGTCATTCCTTCAGGTGCAAAACCAGCTGGTGAGACAGTGACTGCAGCTTCTGAAACTAACGCAGAGAACGCTGCAAAAACTCAGCAGATCTGGCAGCCTCTATGGAATGAGAAACAAGGTTACTGTTTCAAGTCTGGTGTGACTTTTCTACAGAACTGCTGGTTAACTTTATGTCATAGTCATAGCCATAGTGTCACACATCATGGAAACAGACCCTTCGGCCCAACCAGTCCATGCCGACCTCATCCCAAACTAAACTAGTGCCACCTGCTTGAACTTGGCCCATATCCCTCCAAACATTTCCTATTCACTTGCTTATCCAAATGTCTTTTAAATGTTGTAACTTATCTGTGACCAAGCAAAATGGATGTGAAAAGTGGGAATTATAATGGAGTTGGGAATTAAAACAGTCTGTTGATTCGCCCTCGCCTGCACAACTCAGGAGTTAGGGAACAACAGGGAGTTTCAGTTGGAACAGAAATCTGAGGAAAAATGTTTGAAAATTCTAAATGCTCGGCAGCAAGCTCCAGTGAGTCTGAGGAAATTCAGGCTCGCTGACTGTGAATTTATTGCAATTTTTCTTCAACAAAATTGACGCTGCAACTGAGATTGAAGGGGAGAAAAGTGAAAAGTCTATGGTTGTTAACAAACATTTCACACCCCAATCCGTCCAATACCACAAAGCATTTTTCAGCCAATTGTACGTCCTTTGAAGTGGGGAGACTGTAACAATGTGGGAAGTGTGGCAGTTACTTTGTGCATAGCCAGAGCCCACAAGCAGCAAAGTGGTAATAACCGGATAGATAATCTGTTATTTTCAGGATGTTGATCGAGGCATTGACATTCGACAGGGTGTTGGGGACAAGTTCCTTGCTCTCAGAATCATAGAGTCATACAGTTGTATAGCGCAGAAACGGACCCTTTGGTCCAAACAGTCTGTGCCGAACATAATCCCAAACTAACCTAGCTTCCCCCTACCTGCTCCAGGCCCATATCCCTCCAAACCGTTCCTATTCATGTATTTATTCAAATGTCTTTTAAATATTGTAATTGTGTCCACATCCACCACTTCCTCAGGAAGTTGATTCCACACATGAATCACCCTCTGTGTAAAAAAATTGCCCCCATTTCTTTATTAATCTCTCTTCTCTCACCTTAAAAATGTCCCACCCCAGCCTTGAAATCCTCCATCGTAGGGAAAAGACACCTACCATTCACCCTATCTATACCCCTCATGATTTTATACATTCTGGTTGATGGGGCCTCACCTTACTGTGGATAAACATATGGATGATAATGGAATAGTTTAGGTTAGATGGTCTTCAGATTGGTTTCACAGGTCGGCGCAACATCGAGGGCCGAAGGGCCTGTACTGCGCTGTAATGTTCTATGTTCTATCAAAAGACGACACACTGCAATCATGGTGCAGTCATGGAGATGGCCCAGTGGCTCAGTGGTTAGCACCAGGAACCTGGGTTCGATTCCAACCTCAGGCGACTGTCTGTGTGGAGTTTGCACATTCTCCCCGTGTCTGTGTGGGTTTCCTCTGGGTGCTTCAGTTTCCTCCCACAGTCCAAAGATGTGCAGGTTAGGTGGATTGGCCATGCTAAATTGCCCATAGTTCCCAGGGATGTGTAGATTAGGTGGGTTATAGGGGGATGGGTCTGGGTGGGATGCTCTGAGGGTCGGTGTGGACTTGTTGGGCCGAAGGGCCTGTTTCCACACCGTAGAGATTCTATGATTCACTCCCTTAGTACTGCGCTGGAGAGTCAATCTTGATTTCTGTGCTCAAACCATGGTGTGGGCCTTGAACCAAGGGCAAAGAATGCTACCATTTCAGCCATGATGTTTGTCAATAGGATAGTATTTCCAGCACTGAAATAGGCCATTCAGCCCAACCGCTTCATGCCAGTGTTTAACCTCCATCCACCTCCCTTTAGTGCACCCGTTAACATAGCCTACTATCCTGTTTCCATTTATGTGTTCATCTGGATTCCCCTTAAATGCACCGATACTACTCACCTCAACTACTCCTGGTGTATCAAGTTCCACAATATCATCAATTCTTCCTCCTGAATCACGGTTAGATGTAGTTATGACTATCTGATATTTGTGTCCCTTAGGTCTGCTCTCCTCTCTCAGAGAACATATTATACTGTCATCCTCAGTTTGAACACTGCTCAAGTCATTCAACCTATTGCCCTGACTGTGTAGGGGAACAGGACGCAAACATGTAACTCATGTTAAAGAGCTAGCAGCAACCTGGGCTTAATGAACTGAATGGCCTTCCTCAACACTGCATGTTTCTACATCCTACGGAATCTAATGCCTTGCAAAACTTAAAAAAACAGTAAAAGATTTAGCAGGGAGGAAATTATGGATTGATAATCGAGTATGAAAATTGACATCGTTGTTTTCCATCTGGCCTTACTCCCCTCACTAGACTCATCTGGGCTTGCAATCCTCTGAGAAGGCAGCAGGGTAACTCAGTAGTTAGCACTGCTGCCTTATAGCGCCAGGGCTTGGGTTTGATTCCACCCTCGGGTGACTGTCGATGTGGAGTTTGCATGATCTCCCTGTGTCTGCGTGGGTTTCCTCCACGTGCTCCGGCTTCCTCCCATAGTCCAAAGATGTGTGGGTTAGGTGGATTGACCGTGCTAAATTGCTCATAGCATTCATGGATGTGCAGGTTAAGTGAATTGGCCATGGGAAATGTAAGGGATGGGTTAGGGTGGGATGCTATTTGGAAGGTCGGTATGGATTGGTGGGCTGAATGGCCTGATTCCACACTGTAGATATTCTATGATATGATCTATGATGATCTCCACATTTCTCCAATTCTAGCCCCTTGCGCATTCCTGATTTTAATTACTACCCCTTTGACCACCAAGCTTTTGCCTGCCTGGCCCCTTGGCTTTGACTGTCTCTCCTTAAACTTCGCCACCTCTCTTTCTACCCTTCATTATGTTCCTTCAACCCTTCCTCCTTGACAAAGCTTTTGGTCATCTGTCCTGTTATGTCCTGATGAGATAATGTTTTCTCCCTTGGGACATTTCACCGTGTTTAAAGTTTCTGTTATTCCAGTGCAGTTGTTTCTCAATAAAAGAAATCCACATTAAAATCACACAATTCAGGAACATGAAGAGCTCCAAGTTTCAGTTTGGGTCGCTGGTGATTGGACTAAAAAGCTTCTTTCATGGTCAATAGGTGGTTTAGTGAGTAAACTCTTTTTGCAGCAAGCAAAACGTTCACAACACAGCTATGTGGTTCGAGCAAGAAAAAATGTGTATTTCTTTGCATTCCCTCTTAACAGCGACTGTTGATATCACTTTGTCAAGGCCCCTTCTCAAACTCAAAGCCTCATACAAGGCCTGGGAAAAGTTCTTGACGTATCTCTAGAATTTACTGGCCCAAACACTTGCCTTTGAGTTTTGGAGCAGACTGTGTATCTGCGGTCATGTGAATCTCAAACATAACGTTCCCTGAGCCCCACTTTTCCAACAGTGAGCTCTGAGAGTCTCAATATCTTTAAACTATCGGCTTGTGTTTTACAATACACAGCTCAATTAACTGGACATCACACAGCAACTCCCATTGATTTAGCATTCTTAACATTGTAAAAGCAGCAAGGTGCTTCAGTGAGGAAATTGGCAAATAAACTTGACTCCAAGTCATGTGAGGAGCTCTTCGGATGAAACATGGAAAGCTTTATCAAAAGAGTAGGCTTTAAAACGTGCCTTAAGGAAGGAGAGGGAGGTAGAGAGAAGCTTAGGCCGGGAATTTTAGGGCCCAGGCAGCTGAAAGTTGAAACGACGTGCTACAGAAGGCAGGGATTTTCGATTGCTGTAGGGCTGGAGGAGATCACAGAGTTGGGGAGTACGTGAGGAGGCTATGGATAAATATTTTAAAATGGAGGCGTTGCTGGATATTGTAGATCTGTGAGCACAAATGGTGATGAGTGAACAAGATTTGGCACGT